AATAATAAAGATATGTATGTTTATCTGTATCTGCACGATCATCAGCATCATCTGGTAGTTCTGTATTACTGAGCTTTCCAAAGCTCACTCTATTACTCACCTTTTCAGGTTAAAAGAATTATACCAGTGCAGTTATCGACATCAGTAAAGGAATTCGTCCGGCGTTGTTGCAGAGTATGGTACATGTGATTAGGGGGCATGTAATTGTATTTTGATTTATATACAAGTTTGAAAATCTGTTTTATTTTTAAATAGTGAAAACTGATTTTATAAGTTTACATGTTCTGAAAAAAAGTTTTAAATTTTCCGCTATTTTTACAGTGGGTCGCTCCGGTGGCCCTAATGTGACTTCTCGGATCGGATCGGGCTACCCGCATCGGTCTGGGGGTTACATTTAGTGGTATCAGAGCTATGGTTTGAGTCAAAAATTTTCAAGATAGACTGGCCGGTCGAATGTCAAAATATGTCTTATCAGTACATGCCCTTAGACTGTAATCGTACCTCTCTGAGCCGGAACTCCAGGGCTGAGTCTCTATCTGTAGCGAGTAAAACAAAGTTTCTATCTGTTAAGGCTATACTTGTACAAAATGGAATACCAGTAACATCTGTCTAAACGCTGTGAAGTACCTCACGAGCCATGTGAGAGTTATTTATCTGAAAAATTTGACTTGACTCCAGAAATAAAATTGGGGTATTCTACTGCTCTATAAGCCTATTCTTATGACCAAGACTGAATTGATTACTCAAAGAAATTTTCATTCGGATTCTTTTATTGAAATGAGAGAAAGTTCTGATAAGAATGTATACTCAATTGGTTAAGGATTAGTGGAGGATCCGTATTTCTATAAGAGCTACGTGAATGATATGAAAGAACTGATGGAAGTTTTATTTCTATAATTATGTGACATGAATGAATTTCAAGGACGAAATTCTTTTAAGGAGGGGAGAATTGTAATACCCCAATTTAGGGGTTAAATTTAAGAAATTATAAAGTGGTGAATTTAATTGGTATTTTGGAAGAAAATTGAGGATTAAATCATAAAATCGTAAAGTTGACGGACCATTTTAATAAGTGCAGGAAGTTTAGTGACTAAACTCATGGTTTACCCATTTTTCTTTAGGCATGAATTATAACATCTTCCCCCGATTGTTTTTCTGCAGAATTTCCAGTTTTCCCTTCTCCAACAACCCTCCTTTCAACTCCAATCTACTCGCCGTCCGACCTCCGATCGACGAGCCGAAACCACCAGCGTGTTCGTTGTCAACCGAGGAACAAAACCCCTCAAACCTTTCGTCGTGAATCATCTCCGTTCGTCGTTAATTTCAGTCGGAAGTATCGTCGGTAATAACTCGGTTTTAATTGGTTTTTCATCGATTCACGACGACCGGGTCATCCGTTTACGACACCTCCCGCACCATCATGTTCGTTGCATCGTTCCAAGTTTGGCGGTGTCATCCTTGGTCTCCGTCGATGGCGGCGCGTGAGGAGGTGAAGCGGTCAAAGTTTCCGATTTGTTGAAATCGAGCTCTCCGCCGTTCAAAATTGTGAACCGAGCTTTGTAAGTATCTCGAAATCGCTCAAAATAATTTTTAGAAATTTTTCCAGGAATTTAGCACTGTTCACGCGCCCCCACGCACCGCCACTGCGCGTGGGGAAGAAAAAATGACCGGTTTTGTAACCCATTTGACCGGTTTGACCGGTCATAACCCGACCCGACCCGACCCGACCCGTTTACCCGACCCGTTTACCCGACTAGTTGACCCGACCCGTTGACCTATTGACCGTTGACCGACGTTGACCACTGTTGACCAAAACGTTGACTGGCTTTGACCGGGCATTAAACGACCTTTGACTTTGACTGAGTATACCTCTCCTAACATTTTTCGACGTTCCAAATCCGATTTCGCTGTCCGTTTTTCGAAATTCGAACCTGAATACCCCGTAATTGCCGGTCAAACCCGTTGACTTCGATTTTGACCGAAAATTTAAAATTTTCGAAAAGTCATATTTTATGCTTTCGACGTCTTGAATCCGAATCCGAAGTCCGTTTCATCAAATTCGAACCCGATAAGCCGTCTTTTACTGATTTATCACCTGATTTGATCCGTTTTTCGCAATTAAGCTCCGTTTCTGATATAATTTATGTTGATATGTATCTGAGGAATTATTGGAAGTTGAATTGAAGATCAAAGGCGTTCGAATGGAATTTTTATGGTCGATCAGTATTGTACGAAAATCGAGGTAATACTTTACTACCTCTTTATGCTTTATAGAACATGTTGGTATTGGTAAATGCATGAATAGAAATGTTTGGTCTCATATGTGTAATTAATGAAGTTCTACACTCGATCTGAATACGGTAAAAAGGTTCAGTAATTGATTATGGTTCAGATGACTTTTATAAGAAATTAAGGGATTGTTAGAATTAAATTACAAGTTATGTGCTTAGTGATAAAGAAATCAACCTGGATCTATAACTTATAATTTATTTCATCAAAGGTTAAATGTTAAAGGTATTTGGATGAGAAATTATGAGAATACTCCGGTAGGGTAAAATTACGAAAATACCCTTTTGTTATAAAAAGACAAGATTTGAATATAGAAGTTGGATAAGAGGTTTTTATAGACATATTGATCTGATAAAAAAATATTGAGGTGCATAAGAAATGTTAGTTTTACTTGGATATTTTGGATAACCGGTTTTAACCCAAGAGGAGTTGAGCAAGATGCTAGAAGTCTGTTAAGGAATCTTTTCAAGATTAGAGAATGTTGGAGAAAGCAATTAACTATAGGATCTTTAAATTATAATTATTTTTGTTAAGAGCCAATATCGAAATTATCTGGTTAAGAAATACGAAAATGCCCTTGAGAGATAAAATAGTCTGAATTGACCTTGAATGAGAAAGTACTTTGAGGATTTGTACTTAACTCGATTAAGTAAGAATTTAATTGTTAAGATCCTGTCTTTGTACAGAAAATTCATGATATTCCGTTTGTAAAATCTGAGAAGACACTTGACTCGAAAATATCTGAATAATGAGTAAATACTTGAAGAATAATTTATCGGGGGTATTCTGCTGTCAGAATTGTTCGAAAGGACTAAAGTAAATGATAAGATTGAATTAAATAATAAGACCGGATGGAAGGAAAAGATTGAAATACCGTAGATCTGTAAAATGACCATAATACCCCTGTAATGTAAATGACTCAAGAATATCACCAAGCTCAGGAATGATTGAATATCCTCGAGTTCTGAAATGAATGGAATAAAATTGAACATCAAAATTACCAAAATACCCTTATGGCCTAAATTAAGTAAATGTCTTTGATTAATTAAGGAATCCAAGTAAGCATAAGTATTGGACGTTTGTTCGACAAATCAATCACGAAGACCAAATTGAATAGAATGGAAGTACAACATGTATCTGAAATTCAGGAACGTTTGAATTACTCTGGAAAATCCTGAAGTAACTGGAATGGACATGACTGCTAAATGAACTAGGTAACCTCAATGACTGAGGATTTAATAAGTGATTTGGATAAGTCTGGAAACTCTGATGAGTTTACGTAGTGTACAATTACAATGGGTTATGAACAAATTAATCAAGTACGTCAACATTTCATGATATTGTGGAAGCGTGGAAATGAAATAAAGACATTGGAAGATTTATTCAGCGATAATTCTGAAAATGGTCTACGGACAAGAATTTGTGGTATTAAAGAGTAAATACCCTAGAAGGAAAATGAATTGACCAGTCGACATAGATTGTTAAGGTTCTGAATCTTCGTTCTCAAGTTGTTCGATTATCCGATCAATTGACATGGATGTAAAGGATTCTGAATACCCTTCTGATTACGTACAGCTTCTGAAAATTGTCCGAATAAGATAATATCCCGATAATTCACATTCTGAATAACTGATGATTCTGTCAGTTAATGAACTCTTCCAATAGTGATTCTAAATTCTAACATTCTATCGACATACTGAAGAACTGTGTTTCTCTGCCTGATACAATACCTCTAAATAATACCTGTAAACTCTGGTGTGTTCCCTAATTACATGAATATTTTATATGATTTCAAATTTGAATTCTGTTATGATACCTGACCTGGATTCTGATATGATATTGACATGGATTCTGATCTGATACATGACCTGGATTCTGATATGATACTTGACTTGAATTATGTTTTGATTTTTGATATATCCGTTTACGGACGGAATATGTTTTATTGGGGTATTGTTGGAGGAAGATTACTTGAAGGTTCCTCGGCTGTGTGCTCAGGGCCTTACTTACCGGTTCCTCGGCTGTGTGCTCAGGGCCTTACTGGACGTGACGGGGTTGTATGGTTCTGGGGAACCTACACATTTTGTTCGTGACGGATGGGGGTATATATATATATGTTTTAAAAAGATATGAAAAGTTACATGGTTTTTGGGAACACACTAGAAAACCTATTTTGATCTCCTTAACTCAATCATCCGAAATATTTCTCTGAACTGAAAGCTCATTGTCCGTTACCATCTGAAATATCAGTAGGATCTCTGCTCAGTATAAAAATCTGTAAATGTTTGAAAATAATAAAGATATGTATGTTTATCTGTATCTGCACGTTCATCAGCATCATCTGGTAGTTCTGTATTACTGAGCTTTCTAAAGCTCACTCTATTACTCACCTTTTCAGGTTAAAAGAATTATACCAGTGCAGTTATCGACATCAGTAAAGGAATTCGTCCGGCGTTGTTGCAGAGTATGGTACATGTGATTAAGGGGCATGTAATTGTATTTTGATTTATATACGAGTTTGGAAATCTGTTTTATTTTTAAATAGTGAAAATTGATTTTATAAGTTTACATGTTCTGAAAAAAAGTTTTAAATTTTCCGCTATTTTTACAGTGGGTCGCTCCGGTGGCCCTAATGTGACTTCCCGAATCGGATCGGGCTACCCGCATCGGTCTGGGGGGTTACAGCAGGAAAATTCTTTAAGAGATTCTTTTATTGTATTATTCATTCATCCATTAATAAAACTCTGCTGTTGATGACAATGAGATTTTGTATTTGTTCCAAAGTTTTACTCACGGTAAATACACAAAATCACCACTTGAATCTACATCAAGGTCAGCATCAGCATAAAAATCATCAAGATCCACGCTTCCTCCAATGGAAAGTCCCCCGATTTTCGGAACCTCTGTAGTTTTCATAGCTTCCTGTATTATGCTCTGCACTTCTTCCATGGTTTGTGAAGGGTTATTTACATCATTTCTTTCCCAGCTTCCACCTTCCATTAGTTCCACCGGCAAGTTCTTCAAGAACCAAGGGTGGCTTCGAATTTCCGGTATAGTTATTCTCTGAGCCAACAACATGAACATAAGCAATTCAAACGATAGGCCGAAGTAGCCGGCGACTAGCTTCTGAAAGCGTTACCTTTTCAGGATTCACCACGAATATCCGAGACAAAAGGTGTTTGCACTCCACGGAAACTCGGACGTAGTCCGGGAATGAGTAGTGAACGCTGAGTATCCGCTGTAATGAAGAACATCCGAAGTGAGTTAGGGAAAACCCTCAAGTAATTGTATTGATTATCAAATGACGATAAAACACCGACCCCAATTGTGTTTCCGAAGTTTTTCGGATCATTTGGATCCTGAAAGGGATATGCACCAACCAACATAACATACAAGGTGACTCCACATGACCAAACATCTGCAATCTATAGGCAACTCTGGGATTTTAGTTGCAGAACAACAAAAGGGAACAAAATATACAAGTATGCATTACCTTGCCGTCGTATTCTTCCTTGGATAGAACCTCCGGGGCGATGTAAGCCGGTGTCCCTACCGTAGATTTCGGTTGAGAATGCAACACAGATGACTACAAAATCAGGGGACTGTAATCAGAACTCAAAACTCAATGTTGTGTGCAAAAATGTGGTTCGATGGTGTCACCTTTGAGTACCCGAAATCGCATATTTTGACACGGGGTGCGGTGCTTCCGTTGAGGAGAGTGTTTTCGAGCTTAAGATCCCTGTGACATATTTTCTGCAAAACAGAAATTTCCATAAACAAAAGCACTGGTACTACAATATTTGAAGAAATATAAATGTACAAGCCAAAATTGCATACCATGGAATGACAATAACTGACCCCAGATATCAATTGCTGAAAGAAAAACCTTGCCTGTTAACATCTCCAATGAAAGATTCATAAATGAGAAACTGTATTGTGCAATAGAATAGAGTAAACACACACTCTTAAACCTCATTTTACGGATTCGAGTTCGAGCCTCGAATTACGGATTTGTTCTGTATTTTCGATTTATGTTTTTACCTCATCCTCACTAAATCTACCAGCAATGCAGATGCGCTCAAAGAGCTCTCCACCTGCAGCATACTCCATGACTATGGCTAGATGTGTAGGCGTAAGAAGAACCTTCAAAAAGCATTGATCAAAGCTCATCAGCACAAGTAGACAATCAAAAGCAGGGATCTAAATAGCAGTCCAAAAATGCAAATCAACAAAAACGCGACTTCAGCTGTAATTTAAATCCTTGAATTCGAAAGGTTTATACCTCTTTGAATCTAACAATATTGGGATGTTTCAATGATCTATGATTCATGATTTCCCTCTGCACATGTTCATCAATCTGCAACAACAAAAAAAGTAACATAAGATTCATTCAACAAACCCAAATCTCAAACGGAAAATCCAATTAGAAACAAGAAGAAGAAAGATGAGACCTTGTGCCCTCTTTCAATAAACTTAACAGCAAAGAGTTCTTTGGTCCATTTATCCCTAACAAGCTTGGCCACGCCAAAATTCCCAGACCCAATATCCTTCACAATCTCATAACCATCCATGGTTTTTCTTTTCCACTGCAAATCTCTGATCTTTCTGGGGAAACAAACAACAGTGTAAATAACGTAAGAAGAAAGCTCATTGGGGTGGATTTTATTTCAAAGTTAGTTGCGGCTGACAGGTGACAACCCCCATCAAAACGTCACCATTAACGGACAAAAACCAAGTCGTACCTAGAAGGTTAAAGCCATTTCTTTTTACTGCAGAGGCAACGCGTGTATGGAATGACGGAGATTCTCTTTTATCATTGGAAGATGAAAGAATCATGAAGAGAAAACGCTGGCTAATTTATATCTTCTCAAATCCGTCTTCAAACATGAAGAATATAGGTTTAAAACTAATATTAGTGATTACCACCTTCTTTACAGTACTAAATTAAAAATAGAAAGCATTTAGAAAGGCATCCATTTTTTTATATTCTCAAGAAGTTAGCTAAGATCTTGCAACCATCTAGTGTAAATTAGCTGCGCACTAAACTTTGTTCCTTGTACTCACTACCCTATTGGTTTTAAATAAAAATGTATATTTAACTCGAAATCATCGGATATTAATCTGATCTAATTTGATAGGTTGATATTTTTAAATATTTGAGTTTAGAATAGGTAGGTTTTTTTGAAGGATGAGGTTGTATAGGATGAAAATATTTGATTTCACCCGATCCAAAAAATATTATAATTATTTTTTATATATTCAGCAATAATTGTAATTATATATCTCTCTGGACAAAATCACCTAGATATGGTGTTGAAAAATTTTGGTTGACTTAGAGTGTTGAAAAAACTATTTGCTGAGATAGAGTATTTGTTATAGTGTTTTTGGAATAAACCTACACCACTCGACATCTTTTGGAAGATGTCTGGATCACTCGACGTCTTGTGTATTAATCTTATCATCCCAATTGCATGTAATGTGGGGAAGATGTCATGTCTTTCAAGAATCTTCACAAAGACGTCAAGTGGTCCAAGCGTCTTCCCCTATCCAATGTTCATTTCACCTTAGTTGAGAAAATAATTTCTTTAATACCTTATATGAGCCATTTTCCCACCAAATTATCCCATCAAATTTGTCATCTCTATATTTTTTAATTAGATCTCTATTTACCTAATAAAGTTTAAATATATATTTGTGTCAAATCAACGAGTCAGGTCAAATGTAGATTTTTACCCTAAAAATCGGATCATGTTTCAAATCAAATAAAATTTCCCTAAACATTAAACATAAACCAGGTTAGATACAGATTTAGACGGTATAATTTTCAGTTAGAGTTTGATGAATCAATAATTTAATCCGGTCCAACCAATGGTCGTCTTTAGTTTTAAATGGGTATTAGCAAATTTAAGTTTTATTTTAATTAAAGCTTTAAATCATAATTAAATAATTCGCTATTAAGAAATAAAATATAGTATAACATTATAATGAAAATTAAATATATATCATTCTGTTTATGCTTTAAAAATTTAAAAATAACAGTATTAATTAAATAAAAAAATGTCGCAAGCATACTTAGATATTTGGTCCTAAAGCATATATCCCCCAAGTCTAAGTCAAACATGGTTTAAGCTTAACCGGTCCTCTAATCAAAATTGTCAACTTAAATCCCATCATCAACGAGTTCCAACTTTCAAGTAATGGAAATTACCCAGAATTTGATCTGGCCACCTGTCAAATATCAATCCATGGAGCAAAAATTATGGCCAGCTTAAACCCATACATAGGAAGTTGCTAAGAACTTGAAGAGTTCAAAATGTCGTGTTTTACCGGCTGCCAAATTAGGCTTTTTCCTTTTCTTCCATTCTAAAAAGTAATGCCTCCTTTGAATTTAAATGACGTTTGTTATTGGAATAATAATTGCCATACGATAATAATGATATCATCCAAAATCGTTATTATATTATTGTGATAAATTTTTATTAAAATAAGGTTATTAAAAAGGAGTATATGTTTTAAATACTCTTTAATCATTTGACAATGAACGTTCAATTATCCATTATAATCCTTGGTATTTGAACCCAAAAACTCAAGATATAACAAACATTCCTTCAGCTATTAAGATAATTTAGTTCGTGATATTTACCGTACATAATTGCAATAATATTTTTTGGTTACAAAGGGGAACATGAAAACAAACAGAAACTTGCTTAGGCTATCTTATGCCATCTTGGGAAGGAGACTCCCATTCAATCTGCATTAAGGAACGAGATCACTTCCGTCTGCGGGTGCTCGAAGATAATAAACTCCTCGTCAAGACTACATCCCATCTTCGAAAGTATATCAGCGCAAAAGTTTCCCTCGCGATAAGTATGGAGGAAGTTAAGAGACCAGCTGCGACTCTTGAGACTCCGAATATCCGCTATGATAGATTCCAGCGGGTGAGTATCTATACAGCCCGAATTGATAAGAAGAAGAGCTAACCGTTCATCAACTTCACATTCAATAGCTCGGAAACCTTGATCTGCAATAATCTCAATAAATATAACTAAAACTACATGTATTGTTATTTTATCTGCAACTTACAGACATCAACATTGGAAATGATCTGCTTCTTCTCTAAAGTTGCACAAATTTTACAATCTGATGAATACAAAAAATAAAAATAAAAAATAGTAAAAGGAACCATTAATGAACCCTTCTTGGATGCAGCAACTTAGACAAGAACCCAGTTTTATTCTTCTTCACTTCTTTGCCTCTCAATATCGAACCAAACGCCACCGATCTGCTCTTCGTTAACACATCTTTCCCATTAATCATCAACGAAGAAAACCCATCCTTTCCTTCTTTAGGAAAACGATAACGATGATGCATGGGAGAAGAGGCGCAAGAAGGAGAAGCTGAAGAACAGTACGACGAGAGAGAAGAAGAAGAAGAAGAAGAAGAACAAGAGGAAGCAATCTTAGTACGACTTGAACTTGAACTAGTTGATAAACGAGAGAGCTTCTCTTTTAAACAAAGTGAACAAACGCCTGGCGATTGCCTGTGCTTCGGGTGTTTTCTGCAGCAGGCAGCTTCATCTTTCTTTGGTCTAAAGTTCTCCATTAGGGTTTTGCTTCGTATCATATTTCATTGCTTTCGCCATTGGAGGGGATCTACGAGCTTTATATAAAAGCTTTCGTGTGGGGTGCGTTTCCAAGAGACTTCATGGCAGGAGCTTTAATTCAATTTCGTCTGTGCGTTTTAAAAGGTGTTGGAAAAGGAAAAGTTATTAACGGCTCTGATTGAGTGGTCCGCCTGATCGTAGGATGGATGCTTTAAAACCTTTTAAAAAACGATGTCGGTGAGGTATAATTTTGATCCTAGTCCCTGTATTTTGAAAATTTGTCTTTGTTCTTTTATTTAACAATGAAAGTCTAAATTTACCATCAAAATACTTCCATTATAATTTTAAAATGACTTCTATTAAATTGGATTATGTGATATGAGGATAAATAAGTAAATAAAAATAGAGATAAGGTCTGTTTATATTGTTTAAAATACATTGATTTTATATAAAAATATAATCATGAGATGAATTTAATGGAGGATTGAAATTACAGTGTTTTATTTTATTTGAGAAAACTAGAAGATAAAAAATAAAATTAATATATAAAAATTTAATTTTAATCATCCATTTACATTCATTCAATATATATAATATTAAATTTAGAATTGTATAATTTTTATTCTAAATTTAGCTTCATTAAGTTATTCAGTACTATTATAAAGAAACAATATATATATATATATTTTTGCATACATAGTTTTCATCCGACAATAAGTTGAGCATGTAATAAATTTTTAAATATTTTTTTGCCCATAATTTCAAGGTTTCACCTTAATTAATTGGGCAATAAAAAATATTTTTGCAATTTTCTTTTTAATGGAGATATTTTTATGAATTCTTGAAATAAAAAAGATAAAAAGGCATTAGATGTCCCAATACTTTTAAAAAAAAATATCAATGTGACTCGTATTATTTTTTCTCTCAATATGACCCTCCAACTTAGAAAATAAATCCAATGTAGCCTTTTGACCAATATTTTTTATCGTTGACTGTTACAGTGCTGATGTGGCAATCTAGGGTACTTACGTGGCAGTCAACGGTGGTTGATAATATGACAGATGAGCTAAATTGGTAACTCATATGTGCCATGTCAGCATCGTGGACTGCCACTTCAATACTGTAACGGTCAAACAACGAAAAAATTGGTCAAAGGGTCACATTTGTTTTGTTTTCTGAGTTAGAGTGCTATATTGATAGAAAAAAATAATACGATGACCAAATTTTTTTTTTCAAAAAGTATAGAGACCTTTTATAGCTTTTTCCCAATAAAAAAATTGACTAAATTTCAACAATATGACCAGTACTAGACTGCGAATAAAATTAGACATTTACGTGATGGTGGGCATAGTAAGGGTGAAGTTATATGGTACGAAAGCTTAATATTTAATTGATGAAAGGTATTATTAAAAATATTATTATATTTTTAATAATTTTAGTAAAGTGTCCAATAATAATATTTTTGGTAGAAAAATAATATTTTAAATAATATTTTATCAAATTCGATAAAACGCCCAATAATAATATTTTTGATAAAAATAATAATATTTTAAATAATTTTTTATAAAATTATTAAAATATAATAATAAGTTTAATAATATATTTTCTTAATCGTATATTAAACTGCCGCATATGAAACTTCCTCGTATTCATGGGAGGAAAGGAGGTGGACGTGATCAAAACGGTGGAAAAATTGCCCCGTATTTAGGTGGAGAATTGTGTTAAAAGAAAACCTTAAAGTACCCTCCAATAGATTTAGGCAACGTGGTATTCCAAGATAATATTTGTAACGAGTTGCAGTAAAATAATTTGTTGTGTCAGCAGAATATATTAGTTGGCCGACCAGCTATTTTATTTACGTTTCACAATTGCACCGTCACACACACGGTCAAAATTGCTCTCCTAATTCATAGGCCGACTTGACTTTAATTATTATTTTATTTAACATAATTATAAAACTATAATTTCCTAAAATAAATGATTTAAATAATCATTCAACTTTTAAAA